TGAATACTAGATTTTGTTATGAACTGAGATAAAGAAAACTTTGGTCATTTAAAACTTGGAAGTATAAATATTAAAAATTAAATTTGAATATTGATTTGTTTATAAAAGTTTAATGTAAAAGTAATTAAGATATATATAAGATAAAAACTATTGATAAATGTAATAAACATGTTTTTACTTAGCTGATATAATAAGAACTGTACTAGCTTAAATATGAGATAATAGACATTAAGAGAAAAAGAGAGGAAGTTTTTTATGTTGAAACGAGAAATTTTGGTTACTAAATTTAAGACATTTGGAAATTAATAGAAAATAAGAATGTTATACTGTATTATTAATTAGGTGATGTAGGGTGGTGAAAAATAGAATATATTCAAATAGATAAGACGTGTATCCTGAATATTAGACTTTGTGATAAACTGTGATAAAGGGAACTTTGGTCACTTAAAATGTGGAAATTATAAATATTAAATGTTAAATTTAAATATTAATGAGAAACGAAAAATTAGGGAAAACTAATTAGGACATTGATTGTCTATAAAGGCTGAATGTTAAAATAACCAGGATATGTATAAGCTAAAAATTATTGATAAATGTAAGAATGTTATTTTTATTTAATTGATATAATAAGAATTGTATTAGTTTAAACATGAGACAGTAAATACTAAGGGGAAAAGAGAGGAAATATTTAATGCGGTAGTTTGAGACTTGTACTAAAGATACTTGTATGTCACTGAATTATCGATTAACTCAGCCGCCACGTTGCTTTTTAAATACTTAAATGTAAAATTAGAAAACCAATAGAACATTATAAAAAAATAATATTTATAGGTTATTTATATGTAAGGGCGTAGATTTATACATATGTTGTATACAGCATGTTTAAATGTGTGCTATGTATGTGTATACTTTTAGAGCAAGCAACCAAATTTCCTTTTTAATGTGTGCCCACAGTAAAAAAATGACAATAAAGAAACTGCTGAGCGTTTCTGATAATGTATTGAATTGGATTGTTTTTCTTTGTGTATGTTTGTGTTATAAATGCATCATATTACTTATTGTTTAATTATAAAAATTAATAAAATTTTCTTATAAAAAAAATAAAAATAAAAAAAATAAATAAAGGTTATCTTATCTTTTCAGTGCCGTTGTAACTTTGAACGGTCACTAAATGAACTGTTGTAAGTCGAGGACTACCTGAATTGGAAAGGGGGGGAAATTAACTTGAAAAAAAAAAGAGAAAAGAAAACTGGTATCAGTAGAGATCCAGGCACTAGAAGATGCATCCGGAGGGGTGAAAGGAAATCACGGGTAATTTCAACCCAAGCTTCACACACACACACGCCAGAGCCACCTACCCGATTCCTGCTCCTTGGCAACGGGGAGTCCCGGGACGCTTCTCCCGTTTTCCCCAAAGTCTCTCGGGCGCGCAGAAAACCCCTCGGACCCGCGCAGAGCCTCGGCGTTCCCGCCGCGCGGCTGATCGCGAGGTCTGCAGCAGAGGGCGCCCTCAGGCCCAACCTCGGCGCGAGCCCGGGATGAGGGTGGGGAGGAGGGGGGGAGGCTTTGGGGGAGCGCCCGCGTCTGTTTCCGGGCCTGCCGCCCGCCGGCCCGCCCGCCCGCAATTGCAATCTGTGCCGGGCTGAGGGAGCCACGCGGCCCGCCCTCTCCTCGTCCAGTCGCGCGCGAGGCTGAGAGGGGCGGAGCCGTCCACGGGGAGGCTTTTTTCCCCAGCCCCGGGCCAGACGCGCGAGCCGTCTCGCGGAGAGGAGACAGGCAGGCGGACAGGCCGGCCGGGCGGGACGACTTGGACGAGAGCCGCCATCGATCGCAGGCCACGCTGCGGAGGGGGCTCTGGGGTTGCCATGGTGAGTCCTCCTCCTCTCTTCCCGCCCCCCTCCCAGACTTTGATCTCGAGTTTGCATTTCTCTAAGCCCGCCGAGGTCGGCAGCGCCAGGCTTCTTGCAAGCCCGCGCCCCTCCACATCCATCCCTCCCCCCCCCGCGCCTATTTCTGCAACTTGCCTGAGAGTTCAGCCGCCCGACCGGCTTCTGAAGCCGGCGTCTCGCCTCCTCAGTCCAACCCTTGTCGTCTGAAGGATCTTTTGCATTCCGTGGGGAGGTTGCATTGAAGGATCTTTTGCATTCAGGGAGGTTGCAGTTCGACGCTCGAGGAACTGAAAGCCTGGTCGGTCTCGGATCTCTGTTTTTTTTTTAGGTTTTTTTCTAAAAGCAAACCCAGGAAGGATGCAAAGCAAAACAGTCGCTCTTCCTGGATCAAATAGCGACCGGGAGTTGAAGCCGGGAGGGAAGCTTCTTTGTTGCTTTTCGTAAATCAAATGAGGACCTTCATTCAGCGCGATCCCTCTGGGTTTGGTCGGTGGTTCAGGCTAGCTCAGGATTCCTCTTCTATCCTGAAATGTTTTCCCTCTTAGAGTCCACGGTTTACTTTACTGGTAGTCCTCAGCTTACCGCAGTTCATTTAGTGACCGCTCAAAGCTACTCTCCACGGTTTACTTTACTGGTAGTCCTCGGCTTACCGCAGTTCATTTAGTGACCGCTCAAAGCTACTCTCCACGGTTTACTTTACTGGTAGTCCTCGGCTTACCACAGTTCATTTAGTGACCGCTCAAAGCTACTCTCCACGGTTTACTTTACTGGTAGTCCTCGGCTTACCACACTTCATTTAGTGACCGCTCAAAGCTACTCTCCACGGTTTACTTTACTGGTAGTCCTCAGCTTACCACAGTTCATTTAGTGACCGCTCAAAGCTACTCTCCACGGTTTACTTTACTGGTAGTCCTCGGCTTACCACAGTTCATTTAGTGACCGCTCAAAGCTACAGCATCACTGGAAAAAGTGACTTGTGACCGTTTTTCACACTTACCACCGTTACAGCATCCCCATGGACACTTGATCAAAATTTGGGCACTGGGCAACTGGCTTGTATTTATGACGGTTGCAGTGGCCCGGGGTCACGTGATCACTTTTTGTGATTTTTTTTTTGACAAGCAAAGTCAATAGGTTTATGTAGTGCTTCCCATTGTTATTTATTCTACCTCTAATGCAGGGGTAGGCAACCTTGGCTCTTTTATGACTCGTGGACTTCAACTCCCAGAATTCCTGAGCCAGCCATGCTGGCTCAGGAATTCTGGGAGTTGAAGTCCACGAGTCATAAAAGAGCCAAGGTTGCCTACCCCTGCTCTAATGTAACTGTGGCAAGAAAGGTGGTAAATTGGGGCAAAATTCACTTAACAACTGTCTCGCTTTGGGCTCAATTATGGTTGTAAGTCGAAGACTACCTGTATTTTTTCTTTGTATTTATGTCCTTAAACAGTATATGCTCCCTTTCAAAGCCAGGTTCCCCCAGGGGAGTTCACTGATAATCTAAAATCTCAGTATTGGAAATGTGTCCGGACTCATTTCTGGGTTTAAAAAGATTGGAGTTACACTGGTGTTCTTCCTCCACCCTGAGATAAAATAGTTATTGCTGTGCCTGAAGAACAACCTGGTGCTTCCTGTTTTGTGTTTCACCTCTTGTGAAACAAGAAACAGGTTTTTCCCTAACCACTAAATGTGAGATGGAGAAAAAGCCTTGAAATACATTCGTTTTTGTTTACTTGTGATGCATGTGATGCCAGCACAGAATTGCAGTACTGTAATTGGCATTCCTTCCTCTGGAAGTTTGGTTGAAAAGTTGAGAAGAACATCATGGGGAAATTCCAAGGCGACGGAGAGGGACTTTTTTCAATGCAGAAGACTTCTTGTTTCAGAAGTTCTTTCATAACTAATGGATGCTAATTGCAAATACATAATTGTGCACATTTGGCAGTTTTGGCTAATGGTATTGGGACGTAGATTTTTCCAGTGCATATTGAATAATACCTATTATGTCCATTATATTAATTTGCCTAGAAAAATTATCAGTTCACATGGTATTGAACGTGATCTTTATATGATTAAAAAACTGTTTGACCAGCTTAATAATTGTGGAGAAGAGGCTACATTTTGGCATATTTCTTTTTCTGTTGTGGAGTGAAAAACATTGTAGAAAATGGTTTCATAGAGGTGTGTCTTATTTCTTCCTTTATTTAAAGATTTTCTTCCCATATTATAGGCACTCTTCAATGTGCAAATTATTCCTTTAGTGACCATTCAAAGTTAAAATGGCACTGAAAAAAAGCGACTTATGACTGTTTTTCAAATGACTGTTGCAACATCCCCATGGTCACATGATCAAAATTTGGACACTTGGCAACTGGTTCATATTTATGACAGTTGCAGTGTCCCAATGTCATGTTATCACCTTTTGCGGCCTGACAAGCAAAATCAATGGGGAAGCCAGATTCACTTAACAACCATGTTACTAACTTAACTGCAGTGATTCACTTAACAACTATGGGAAGAAAGATTGTAAAATGTGGCAAAACTCATTCAACTGTCTCGCACAGCAACAGAAATTTTGTGCTCAGTTGTGGTTGTAAGTTGAAAACTACCTGTATCAACATTTTAAAAATCCCAATGAAAAGTAGTTGCATACAGCTGCTTTATGCCACACTGCTTTTTCTCTAAGTGATTAAGTCTGGTAAATGCTTATTGTTGATAGAATACAGAGAACACAGTTTCACTTGATTTCCTGCAGAGAAGCTGATATATTAGGAAGGTATTTAATACAGATTTGGGTTAAGGTTTTGGGTCTTGTTAGTGTTTCAGTGGGGAACTATCAGTAAATCATGTATAACTTCCTTGAGATTCATGATGAAGAATAGGTGAGATATCGATGGATTAAAATACATGCTTTGAGGTGTATACTTGGTCTGTTGCACTTTCCCACCAAATTGGCATGTGCATTCAGGGTAAGCTTGGTGATTGAAGAGGCATGAATAGATGATGTTGTAATCCTCCCAGAGTCACCTTGCAGCAAGATGAGTGGCAAAGAAATTTAATAGATAGATAGATAGATAGATAGATAGATAGATAGATAGATAGATAGATAGATGATAGATGATAGATGATAGATAGATAGATAGATAGATAGATAGATAGATAGATTAGATAGATAGATAGATAGATAGATAGATAGATAGATAGATAGATAGATAGATAGATAGATAGATAGATAGGAAACTGGCCATGACTGAAGCTGCAGAGCAGTTCTCAAAAATGGGCTGAAGAAAGTGAATTGATGTAACATTGAATGTCGAAATTCTTTTAGTAATGCAGTCTGTTGAACAACAAACCTTAAAAGTGTTGCCCAATCATGCTGTGTTCCTGATACTTGTTGAACTACTTCTTTGCCAGTAAGGCTTCCTTAAGCCATGTGGAGGATAAGGCTGCTTCAAAGAAAATGTGATCTACTTTGCTAATTAGCTGTGTAAACATTGCCTTTCAGTTGCACAATTTTGTTTCTCATCATGATAATTTGTTTCTAAAAGTGCTGAAAAATGATATGGGACAGTTTTTCATTAAGTCTGCATTTTCTGCGGCTCATGAGAAAAGTACATCTTCCTTCCCCTGTCCTTACCACTTTCTATAGAGCAGGGGTGTCAAACTGCTGGCCCACGGGCTGGACGCATCATGCGGAAGCCGCGCCCACCCCATTGCCGGCAATATCAAAACTCTCCCGATACGTTGCGCGACGTCATGTGACATCGCACGTTTGACATGTCTGCTATAGAGGGACGATCAAGAGCATCCTGCCATATTGCATTATGTCTGGTTTGGAAGTCCTGCTTCAGTCAGGAAGGCAGTGCAGAGAGTGGTGAGGATGGCAGAAAAGATTTTTGGTAGTTCACTTCCTTCTATCTAGGTCATGGCATATAAGTGATTTTTGAGCAGGGACCTCAGGATTGTCTAGGATGCTGCATATCTTCTTCACGACCTGTTTTCCTTGTTCCTTGATTTTTTTTTTTCATTTTTATTAAAAAAAACAGTTTAAACTGTTAACACAATGATAATTAAAGCTTTCAAAATATATCTGGATAGTGTAGTGAAGTATGAATGAGCAAAAAACCAGATATAATTTTTTTGGGTGTTGTTTACTGTTTTGTATAAAAAGAGAAAAGAAATAAAAAGAAAAATATTGAAAAATGTATTGTCCCTCTGTAATACTAATAGTCTTACATGCGTCTCATTTTATAATTAAAGTCACTTTAACATTGAAGTCATTTTATGCATCAATAGGAAATTAAATTTATAATCTATTGTATGCAGTGCAGATTTCCAAAAAATTCTGCAGTGATATCCTTATGTGAATGGCAGTTGGAATACATGTTCTTCAGAGCATTAACCGAGGACAATAGATGTCCTTCCACAGTGTAGTATCGGTACTGCGCATCATAAAAACATGCAGGATCCATTTTCTTCCCAATTGTACATTCTTCAAAAGAGCATGAGTAACATCTCTGAGTCTACTCTCTAATTAGTGTTTTTTTGTACTTTACCATCTTGTGGGTGCACACAATTGATACTTTGTGTGGATTTATTTAAAAAAAATGGGAATATCTTTTGATCAAGGTCTCTCTCTCTCTCTCTCTCTCTCTCTCTCTCTCTCTCTCTCTCTCTCTCTCTCTCATACACACACATACACAAAAGGATTTGTTGTTAATGGGCAGCTTTCTCAATCTATCCAAGCAGAGACTTTCTAGGGGTAGGGAATGATGGCCCTTTTATGACTTGTGGACTTCAACTCCCTGAATTCCTGAACCAGCCATGCTCAGGAAGACATTTAAGATGTATGTTGGAATGAAGCAAACTAAAATAGGACTTAATTTACATTTAACAGTTTCTCACTGAGAGGATAAACTGTCAGTCACATAATGTACAGAGTTTTTATCTCTACATAAAAAGTAGTATTCTGTATTTTGTAA